TAGGCCTCTGGCAATGAGTCAAACATGCTCTTGGAACATCCCCCATTTCTATAGATGGTTTTCCCATTGAAAAACCTATATACTTGCATTAGATTCTATTTGTGTATATACCCCAAGGGCCATATCTGGTATAGTCGTTACGTGCTAGCCCATACCGGGGTTTTGGAGGCTAGGCTATACCAGGATGTTTTCCTGGTATAGTATAGGCGAGCAGTTTTCCCAGTATAGGCTTTCATGCAATCCCTGTGTAGGCGTTCATGGTTTCCCGGTATAGGCGCTAAGCCCCTCTAGTCCATATGTATAGGCTGTGAACCATCCCCTGCACAATCTAGATTGCTTTTTTGCAAGTTATTTCGTTTGTGTGCGCAAACCCAACCTCGTGTTTGTTCATTGAAGTTGGGCACAAACAAACCGCCAAAAGTCAAAACGCACAAACATCAAATGAACAAAAACAATTTCGATTTTTTTTTTATCCCCCAGTCCATGTCCCGGTATAGGCGTTCCACATCCCAGTATAGGCGTTCCACGTCCCAGCATGGGCGTTCCACGAGTTGTCCTCGGGTTGTCCTGGACTCCCTGTGCTTTCAACATGTCATCTTTTTTCTTGCTGAAATTCTCTGAATGTTTCTGATACCCTGACTCAAACTCGCGAGCGCATGCCCGTTTCCAAGGAAATTGTTCATCGTTTTTTTTCTGCTGGGCAGTTGTGGACAATCCAAAGGGGTCTTAGCATATCCTATTACTATTCCTTGGGCCAGTACCCTGGTATAACCTTTAGGCCAATCCCGGTATAGTCGTTCGTGGCTTCCTGGTATGTTCGAGGTGTTAGCCTGGTATGTTCGAGCGAAACCCTGGTATGTTCGAGCATTCCCAGTGTGTTCGAGGCTATACCAAATATGGTCGAGGAAGCATAAGGCATATAATTTATATATACATATTATACATACACAATATATCACAATAATTATTATTACCGATAATTACAGGGGTTTCTTATATTGCATCCTGTTGCCATGCTAGAGTACCGGAGAGTATGTCTTAAGCAGTCAATTATCAGTTTTTCCTTCGGCGTGACTCTCATCTCTTCAAACCGTCGCCTTAAAGTATTCAAAACGGATTTCCCCGAACTGCATCTTTTTCAGCAGACCCAGCTGCGATATCTGTGTTGCGGCCAGAAACAGCCGTCATTCACAAACAGCAATGAGGGTGACGTTTTCTATGGAGAAGAGATGAGTAAAGAGACACCTCCATGCAAACCCGCGCAAGTAAGGGATTGAATTGAATTGCCTTTGAAGTCCTCACCAGATCAAGTTTTAAAAAATGAAAATCTTGGGTGGTAGGAAAACATGGCTCAAACCACCAGCCGGCATGGGACCGTGGCAGGATACGCGACACAAGCATGCAAAACTGGAATATACCCTCAGGAATTATGCTTTTCAGTCACCTAAATTGTAGGTAATAGTAATATATATGGTAATATGCAAGGTCTGTACCGGTATATGCAAAGCCAAGATAAGAAAACATCCCAACAATATGGCCGGCACAGTACCTCCATTTACCGGTTGCAGGACCCATGATTCCAGGATATTCCAGGCTTCCTACAGGAAGATCCGACTTTTTAGTTCATGTCTGACAATCATCGGCACTTGACACCTAGTTAGTTTATATATGCTCTCATCTGGCAATATGCCAAGAGGATCCAAGATGATCCAAGAGGCATCTTTTAGCGTCGTTCAAGCACAGTATACAGTGATTGCAAGATACAATGCCAAAAGCATCCGTAAACCAGACCATCACCAATTTCAACTTTGGTGGTTTAAGCTTACCATGAAGCCTCCATGAAGGTCTTGCTGCAGGATGACTAATAGCATGCGACGCAGTCTGGATCTGAATGGTTTGGGTCGGGCGGGCAAGGCCTTTGTTTGGGCGCAACGCTGTTCGATTTCATGAATTGAGTATGATCTACTGTGGAAGGAAATCCTGCAGCAGTTGGTAGCTATTGTTGACTATGAAACACGGTAAGTCATGAGATTATAACGGGATAAACCATCGAATTAAGTATCAACTGGTGCAGGATTTCTTCTGTCCACAGTGCCAATTAGCTTTGACTACAATATATTCTCATGCAGGCAGGTGATTGTTTAATAAAAATGACTTTCAGAACGTATCCAATATTAATTGTGTATATATATATATACTGTATATATATATATACATATTATTCTACTAATATTATCTAATTATCTGTTGAAGATGCGTCGAGTCATATGTAATAAACCCTTTGCCCCTAACAATAAACACACCCCAGTGTCGGAATGCCGTGGATCTATTCATGGTGTCCAACAGGCAGGGGTCAGACCTTTGGAGGGTACAACTGACCAGACCAGGGGATGAAACCAACAAAAACGCAGATTTTTGATCCCCCAAAAGCTGGGGTAAAATCTCTCGATTTTTAGGCCCAGCATGGAAGATCCTGGAGATCGTACCTCGGTGTCAACAAAATCCAGGGGATTGAAAGCTGGTTGGTGGTTGAAAAACCCCTCTGAAAAATGTTCCAAACCACAAACCAGAAAGTCATAGAAAGTCACTTGAAAAAAATGCAGGGCACGCTACCCAAGGCCATCACATAGGTCAAAGAACCTTCATCCGAACATTTCAAGGTGTGTCTGAGTTCATAGGGCTTTAAAAAAACCACCCAAACTGGCAAGTTTCAGAGGGATCATATGGGACAATGATTAACCAGTGGGGCTACGGCTAATGTGATATGTCGGATTTGTATGAATATGTGCTATATTCTTGCAAGCGCATAATATGAATGCCACTTTATCATACTTTATCCACTTTTCATCGTCAGCAACGCCAAAAAGGTCATCCCATCGCCCGGGTGAACGCGGTCAACCACATTGAAAGAAACCATAAGAAACCTATCAGCCTTGCGCTGACAGGAAAGATAGCAAAAAGGGTGGGTGTATGTCTGCCCCGCTTCGTCCTCTGACTACGGGGCACTGGGGTGTTTCAGACAATCCGGATCATCGGCGTGTCTCAAACTGGGGAATCGTCACTTTTTATTGAGGAATATGATTTGCAAAAGCATGGGATGGAAAAGTTTCCAAATTCATTCAAATTCGGGAGATTTCGAGACACTCACACACATCACACACAGCAGGTTTAGATCCTGCAAAAACCGGTGCTGTGATGGATTTGGGCTCCAACGCTGTACGATGATTTTGCTGGATGTTTCACAAGCAGCCACAGCAGGAAGCCTTACCTGACCAATGCCAATCAACGCCATACCTCATGCTGAGGTAAACTAACTGACATGGATAGTTGCGGAAAATGGGTTCTTTCTCCACGAAGCCAAAGTTTGCAAGAGGGCCTGTCTGCATCCTCCATCTCTTGCATCCTTAAAATCCTTAAAAGTTGAAACTCTTCCGAGTCTAACATCTGGGCAAATTAGAATCATGTTCACTTGGAGGAGAGGAAAAAATGGAAAAAGAACGCAAACCAAACATATCAAACATGCCTGATTTGTGAAAGCAGCAAGACTTCAAAGCTTCAACTTATCTGTTACCAAACATGGTTTGGTCATGTTTGGTCCCCATGGTGTGTTTTTAAACCCTCCTGAACAATATAATTAGCTCGGATCATTGGGATTGCTTCGGATCATTCTAACACATATAGAACTGGATTGGAAAATAGAAATTAGTACCAGCGATGTGTAGATGATGGATGGATATCAGATGCCATATTTTCTTACACGAAACTGTCCAAATAAGCATGGTGATTATGCCTTGTGCGGTGGCTAATCGGTTTCATTCCTTCAAATTTGCCCAGAACAGATTTGGATTCCCTGCCCGGTCTGCGGACGGCTTAGCCAACAGGTCACTGCACCGGGCAAGGCTTGGATATTGCTGGAGCTCTGAATGGAGGGTTGTCGAGACGAGTTAACATTGGATCATTGAAAAGGTTTAGCGTGGTAAACCCATAAAAAGAATTATAAAAAATATATATATATATATATATAAAGCCAATACTGAACCATCCCCCAAATCACCATCAATGGGCCAATGGGCTGTATAAACCATCAGAGTATGGGTGGTTTCCTATTGTTTTACTAACTTTGAACCTCAATGTTTGACCGTTTTCTGGGTTGCTCCCAGTACCCCAGAGACAAACGCAGGGAAATGAATGGCTAAATAAAGAGGGACAGTCAGATTCACCATTTGATAGTGAAAGTAAAATCCCAGGGCGTTGAGTCGATGGGAGAAAAAAAAAAAAAAATATTGCTCGGATCGGGGCAAACTAACGTGAAGCGCGGGCTGAGCCAACAAAGAATGGGGTCCAAGGGAAATCGGTCAGCATACAACCTATATACAAGACATGATACTGAAAGGGCCAAATCCGGAAATGTTGTCCCATGAGGTCGCTTCTAGATGGGACGCCGGGACAGATTGCGGATATTCAGCAAAAACTGGTACCACATATGGAGCATGGATGCAGACTCGCTGGCCAATTCAGATCGGCACACCAAGTCAGAAGGACATATAAAAATTTCAATATTGTATAATAAAAATAAGGAAAACATTGGAAACCTTCAAACAAATCACCAGGCTGAAACACAGCAGTGTCGCCAAAATGAAGCAAGTGGTCCCCACACAACACAGGGTTACTGGTGGGAGTGACCCCTGGCAGACAGCTTCTGCCAATGATGTCACATTCGTTTCATCACCATGTGTGTGTGTGCATACTGCAATGTGTGTGCATACTGCAAAGTTTCCGTTTTTTAAGTCGGCACTGTGATTATGGTCCTACTGTATTTCTCTTGGTTGCCATCTTTCACCTCCTCAATCACTATAAGCCACAACTACCACTCACCACCATCAACAGATTACTCCGAACAATTACTAGTTTAGTAACCCCTATTATCAACTATTAACATAAAAATGACCCACTACTAATCGCTTTTAACTATCAACCATCAATTGTATATACGATCAACAGCAACTTCAAAAAATCATCGTCACCTCCGACATCATCTTCGGCGCTCCAGTTCGGTCCGGCGCAGGTTCACACGCTGGGGTAACTTCTGGGGATCCTCGCACATCTTCTTCAAAAACCTCATGTCTTCAGGGAAAAAAATCATGGGCTGAATTTTTCTGGGAAATTTGGGTCATCATTTATGGGGCAGAAAAAAAAACAACTATGGCTATATGGCCATTTTAATAGGGACCATGATGAGAAAGCGATGGATTTAAACAAACCATTGCTTCAAGGGAGACTGTACGGAAAACCATGGGTTTTTACGGATGGGCTCAGGCCAGGAGTTCACCAAGAAAAAAAGTACCAAAAGATTCCAAAAGACATGTCATGTGGGTGAACAAATGAGGAGTTTGAGATAAAATGGTCGAATTATATGTATGTATATATATATATATGTGTGTGTGTGTGGGGGGAAAATAAATAAATACATAAATAAATAAATAAATAAACATATAATATATGGTACAGGCCTGAACCCCCCCCCCGTGATGGGGATGGTTCCTAGGATTGGGTGTACTACCTCCCTGGCATCCAACTATCATGCAAGGTACCTCTGCTTCCCCGCCCCCCCCTGTGGGGTGGGTTGGGTGTAGTATGTATGTACCTACGTAGGTTGGTAGGTATAGGCATGTATGTATGTATGTATGTACGTACGTACGTACGTACGTATGTATGTATGCCATGTATGCGATGGGGATGGTTCCTAGGATTGGGTGTACTACCTCCCTGGAATCCAACTATCATGCAAGGTACCTCTGCTACCCCGCCCCCCCCCTGTGGGGTGGGTTGGGTGTAGTATGTATGTACCTACGTAGGTTGGTAGGTATAGGCATGTATGTATGTATGTATGTCTGTCTGTCTGTCTGTCTGTATGTATGTATGTATGTATGTATGGGGATGGTTCCTGGGGATGGGTGTATTGTCTCTGTTTCCCCTCCCCCCCGCCCCCCTCCCCCGTGGGTGTATTATCTCCCTGGAATCCAACTATCATGCAAGGTACCTCTGCTGCCCCTCCCCCCTGTGGGCTGGGGACGGTGGTCTTGTTTTTGTGGAGTCATTTATGTATGTACCTACGTAGGTTGGTAGGTAGGCATGTATGTATGTGTGTTAGTTTGTATTTATGTATGTATGTATCTATGTATGTATGTATGTATGTGTGTTAGTTTGTATTTATGTATGTATGTATGTATGTATCTATGTATGTATGTATGTATGTGTATGTATGTGTATGTATGTGTATGTATGTGTATGTATGTGTACGTATGTGTACGTATGTGTATGTATGTGTATGTATGTGTATGTATGTGTATGTATGTGTATGTATGTGTATGTATGTGTATGTATGTGTATGTATGTGTATGTATGTGTATGTATGTGTATGTATGTGTATGTATGTGTGTGTATGTATGTATGTATGTACGTACGTACGTACGTATGTATGTATGTATGTATGTGTGTATGTGTGTATGTGTGTATGTATGCATATAATGTCATGTCATGTCATGTAAGGTAAGTTAAGTTATGTATGTATGTATGTCTGCATGTATGTATGTATGTATGTATGTCTGTCTGTATGTATGTACGTACGTACGTATGTATGTATACACGTATACATATATACATATATACATATATGGGGGGGATACCATTGGGGGGGGTTTGCCGGCCGCCGGCCGGGACCATATATATATATATTCCTCTATATATATATAGAATTATAAATATATATTTATATAATATATATATATATACAGGAAAATTTTAGGAAATATTAGGAAACATGGTGGAATGCTGGTCCGGTCCTTTTATTTGGCAATGTGAGTAGGATTCACTGGGACGTTGTCCCTGCGGACATAGCCGTCGCTTGGGGATCAGGGAGTGGCCTCCAGTAGCCGTAAGTTACGCAACTGAAAAAAGTACAGCAAATGGAAAACGCCAAAACCTGTCCAATTAGTATAAAACCAGTTCATTAACATCATTCACATCATTAACAAGCAGTTTTCAACAAACTGGGATCATTCGCTCCAGACCCGAAAACAGATCCTGCTAATGCTCTATGTATCGGTATATCCACCTACTGTACTACAGTGTGCATTTTTTGGGGCAACTGTTGTAAATATACCATGGACATCCATGGGAAAACTTGGGTCAGTAGGTCAGGTCATAGTCATGAAAAAGAATGTTTCGGACCTCATTCATGGGACCACCATGTCACCTTACAGTACTGGGTACAACCATTGGAGGGGTGAAAGTAAAACAAGTGGTGAGCGATGGCCAAATTCCCAAAACCCAAATCCCATGAAGTCCCAATATAAACTCTGTCATACATATATATATATATACACACTCTTGGGGTCATGGTGATCTGTGGGCTTTAATCTTTAGTAATCCCTTACTGTCAAGTAATGGGCAACACTTTACAGGGGACACCAAACAAATGCTGGCCCAAAGGAATAGATAGATGTGTCCAATCTCAAAGTATGTTGGCAAGTCGTATCCACCACATGTCTAGCTGTCAATTTTTGCGTGTTTGTGAGTTGCAAAGGACACCTGTTGGCTGCAATCTCGAACTTATCAGTTTCCCATGGTCGTTGATTGATTCTTATCAGCTTCTTAGCTGACACCATCTCATGTTTTTTTCATGTGTCCTATGTCATTATAATTCAATTGTTGTCTTTTCCAAAAAGTTCGCTACATACTATGGATGTTGGTAGGCCATACAATCCCCTAGTCAAAGCCTTGAGTTCTGCATGTTTCAAGTCTGCATTGCGTTGGTAGGGGCCCTGTTTTGGAGGGCCTGCTCTTTCAGTGGATTGATACAGAAATTGATACAAACCAAACTTTACCGAAAACCATGTGTAAAAATAATCAAACATGCTTCCTTGCTGTAGATGGCGTTGTCTGAAACTGGTGGGTTCTCCAAAAGTGCTATCTTAATTGGAAAAAGGATAATGAAATGCTGGAAATCGGAGTTGTTCCTTTGATTTCTTCAGACCATACAGGTGATCTCTCCCATCCTCCCATTCTCCCATCAAGCAATCATCATTCCCTTCGTTTGGGCACCCAGAAGCTTATCAAGTTTACACTCATGCCACCGCTGGGTGGGAGCGATAGGTGGCATCGGCACACCACCCGTGTTTTCCTGGGTGAGACCACGAGCAGCGCGTCGGTTTCTGATCGTTGGGGTTATACCATGAGACAGAGTTCTCGTATACGGTTTATAACGTTATTACAGTATATCTCCCCTGTATGTTTAGTCTACAAAAACATGTATATATATAGTTGTTATAAAATATAATATACTATAATATACTATAATATAATATAATATAATATGTTATTATATATTATAATATATTATAATATATTAAAATATACTTTATATTGAAACAATATATATATATATGTGTAATATAGAAAAATAATTTAATATAATATATATATATATATATAATAACAGAATATAATGTAAGGTAATATAATGTAATATAATATAACACATATGTATATATATATATATGTAAAAAACATAATATAATATATATACTTGGGCAATGTTATCGCCCAAAAGTATATTCCCATAGAAGCATTTTTCAGGAAAACTTGAAGGAAACTAGCATATTTGGACGGTGACTAATTCTAGACATTTTCTCAATCTCCAAAGATCACTCCAATGGTGGTTGGCGAGTTCAATTTCCCTGAAGATGGGTTTGCCAAAAAAATGAACATATTCCACAATATTCCACACTATTCCAGAATCACAGGTATCCCTTTTGGATATTTTTGCAGGTAAGGAATCTTGGAAACAAGTGCAAACAAGGAAGAATGATTTAGATCCCTTTCCATGCATTGAGCGCCCGCACACAATCACACACACACACATGTACATGGGCATATGGGAGCAAATATATATATATATAAATATGTGTGTGCACATATGGACTCATATGTAATGAAATGTAAATACATACCGGAAAAAACAAAACAAACAAACAGCGTACATATATGACATATATCATTGTTGTGCATGTGGATTTTAATATAATGTGATAGCAAATAGCAAGCCCGAAAAAGATGGAACAGTTGGGAAAGCTGGAAAGTATGGGGAAAACATCATCCAACTACCATCCTAGAAACACTTATCTATATTTTTAATTCTTCTTAGGGATTGCTATACATATAAATGTAGCACAACCAAAAACTCACGAAAGATCAGGTAGGGGTATGCCGGACCTTGGCCTGTGGGATGGTGACCTCTCAATTTTTGGGGTCCAATAGGCTCAAAATATTGGAACCCCAATGTGCCCCAATGTCCTTTTATATATACTGAGTTCCCTAGTGTAGATGCTATTTTCAATTTACTGTAGGTTATCTAAAATCTACTATTTTTATATTTTTGTTTTTAGACACCTGTGTCCAATCTCTTATGGCTGTTTGATGATGCGTGGATTGGCCAAGTGTGGTAGAATACTGCATCGATCTTTGTGTTTGATTTCTTGTCCGGAGGATTGACACTACCAACTAGTATGTCAAAGTACACACACATGTATACATGTTGATTCTCCATTGCCGACCTTGGCAGAGGGTACCCAGCAGCCAGTCACCACTCTACCCTGCCACGTTTCGCAGGACATAGAGTGGAAGCTGTGGCGAGGCTCGTTAAACCTGGATCACAGGGACATCGACCAGTTCCAGTGACATCCCAGCGATGTCTTTTGTTTTTCCAGTGCGCGCACCCATGTCTGTGTGCACAAGCATTTGCATATTTGCATGTTTATGCAATGCTTACATGTAGAGACAGAGAGAGAGAGAGAGAGAGTGCGTTCGCAATTTGCGATCGGCTTGAAATTATGTATATATATATTTATTTATTTATTTAAATAAATAATATACAGTATATGTATATATACATATAATCAAAAATATATATATATATATATACATTATGTGTATGGGCTAAACATGCGACGGAAGTGGGAACATTACCAACAAATGGCGTATGAAAATCGAGTTGGCCAACCACGAAAATTGAGGATCCACATTTATTTAATAAACAACTGGGGATGTCATACCAAAATGTCAACTGCTACCGATGATATCAATCCAGCTTGTCTACAGCTGGAAAAATCATCTCATGTCATTTACGGAATGTTCCATCGGCATGGTTGATTCAGGTAGGAACACTGAGTACAGAAACAGAACATTACCCTCTGGTTATTTAACATAGCCATGGAAAATGCACCATTTATACTGGATTTTCCCACTAAACATGGTGATTTTCCATAGTTATGTTAGTTTAACAGAGGGTATATTTAGCGGATTTTAGCGGTTAGGTCTTGCCGCCAATCATCATTTCTTTACGGGTTCTATAGTGATCATGCCTGGGATTTTCTGGGATGAAACACATGTATCATCATTGAGATATTTTTGGTAGATGTTGGTGGATGTTGGTGGATGTGCATTTCAATGATGTCAATCATCCCTAGTTATATGTTACAATCCTTCTGCAAACATCAAATGGTGGTACAACCGCCCGGGCCCATCTAGAGTTGAATATCTTTCTGTGCACGTCACCATCTGACACAGAAGGGTGCAAAATTACTGATACGGGTACGGGGCAAAACCATTGCACCCTGGTGACCACTAAATCAAAAGGGTTGGCCAATCCACCTCCACATGGAAAACGGTCCGAGGTCCCATAGGTAAAGTATTTACTCATATCCACTCATGTCCATATATCACCATGACTTTTTGTATGATTCAAGGTTCCTTGAACAGGAATCTAGATGCAAATAGACTAATAGAAAGGGGCAACCCGCAACAGGGACATCAACCTGTAGCCTCAAACAACAACTCTGGGCCATCTGGGGCAATTTCACCGGGTTTTGCGAGGTGTTCCAGCAAGAAACAAAATACCAAATCAAAGTCCTCTGCAAAGGATATGGCAATCCGGTGTTGGTTCATGTCTGGCCAGGACAGCAAACGACCCAAGCAACCCAATCAACGCACTCTATCATTCCCTTTCAACATCTTTCGGCCCTCCTCTTAATGATGACTTTCCACCTTCAAGATTAGTTGGCCAAGAGGGAAGCCGGTAGCCAGGCAACTTGATGGACGCATGTTCCGACATAAGGTGTCCATCCTGGTCAATGCAGTTCAAGCAGGCATCTGATGTAAGAAGTTTCCCATCTTTGTCAAAGTCCTCGGAAACCAGCGGCGGAAACCAAAACGGCCGACCCGTATGAAAACACTAAAGCATAGCAAACCCAAATAGATAGAAAAATTGGACACCTGTGAATTATGTGCGAATTATGGGGCAGGCATCATCTATAACATCCTGAAAACACCTTTCCATCTTTTTCGGGAGCTCTATATATATATGTATATGTATATGTATATATACATATGAGAAAAAAACATATATCTAAATGCATACAAAAAACACTAGAAAACCACTTGGCCACTGAACACTGAAGCACATCTTGTCACATCGTACGGATCATAATTAATATGTTTACCATCAACCCCAAACAACTGGTTGAGGAAATACATTGATCCCCAATGACTTCAAACGCTTCAAAACCAGAGGAAAGAACCCCCTAGATAGGTCATTTGGTTTGTAATGTTCATAACTAGGCTGAGGATTGGATTATGTTGGATGCATTCTGGATTGCAGTTAGGCGAGGAGATGCGAGGAGATAAACAAACAACTGGGGTCCCAAAACGCATCTGCCCACCAAGCTTCAAATTCTGCCAAACTATGCGCACGACTCGGGATCACGGCCACCACGGCCACACCGCTCCCTTGAGAGCAGCCCATGTCGTTTTCCGGTCGCGTATCGCGTGTGAAAGCAGTATGAGACTTGGACCAAAATTCCGGACCTGCGATGGACACCAACATCACCAACTAAGGTGGGATGACTTCTGAAGTTGCCGGATCATTTGCACAATGGTCAAAACATGGTATAGGGAGGTGTGTGGTAAGGTCATCTCATCATCATGAGGAAATCCTCGTAATGACTGGGTATGTTTAGATCCCTACTTCTGGGGGGATGACCATCTCATCTATCTAACTCTACCTAGTTCTATCTCATTCTATCTAGTTCTATCTAACTCTATCTAATTTTAAGTATCTATCTAATTCTATCTCATTCTATCTAATTCTATCTACCTAATTCTATCTAATCCCATCTCATTCTATCTAATTTTATCTAATTCTATCTCATTCTACATAATTCTAAGTACGAGTATCTGTATGTATCTGTCTAATTCTATCTAATTCTATCTAATGCTATCTAGTTCTATCTCATGATACCTAGTTCTTTACAATTCTATCTGACTCTGTCTAATTCTATTATCTATCTCATTCTATCTGGTTCTATCTATTTCTATCTAATTCCATCTAAATCTATCTAATTCTATCTAAATCTATCTAATTGTAACTATCTAGCTATCTAGTTATCTATCTATCTATCTATCTATCTACCTGTAAATACCTGTATATACTTATCTATCTATCTATCTATCTATCTATGTCTATCTATGTCTATCTATGTCTATCTATGTCTATCTATGTCTATCTATGTCTATCTATGTCTATCTATGTCTATCTATGTTTACCTATGTCTATCTATGTCTATCTATGTCTATCTATGTCTATCTATGTCTATCTATGTCTATCTATGTCTATCTATGTCTATCTATGTCTATCTATGTCTACCTATGTCTATCTATGTCTATCTATGTCTATCTATGTCTATCTATGTCTATCTATGTCTATCTATGTCTATCTATGTCTATCTATGTCTATCTATGTCTATCTATGTCTATCTATGTCTATCTATGTCTATCTATGTCTATCTATGCTATCTATGTCTATCTATCTATCTATCTATGTATCTATCTATGTATCTATCTATGTATCTATCTATGTATCTATCTATGTATCTATCTATCTATCTATGTATGTCTATCTATCTATCTATCTATCTATCTATCTATCTATCTATGTCTATCTATGTCTATCTATGTCTATCTATGTCTATCTATGTCTATCTATGTCTATCTATGTCTATCTATGTCTATCTATGTCTATCTATGTCTATCTATGATCTATGTCTATCTATCTATCTATCTATCTATGTCTATCTATGTCTACCTATGTCTATCTATGTCTATCTATGTCTATCTATGTCTATCTATGTCTATCTATGTCTATCTATATCCATCTATGTCTTTCTATGTCTACGTATTTCTACTTATTTCTATCTACGTCTATCTATTTCTATCTCTATCTATTGATCTATGTATAAATATATATATATAGGCTTGGAAAAAACCAAGTAACTAATTTACACTGGCTTCACAGACTAAGTGCCTAACCACAAGACAATGGCCAAGACATGCTAAGATTTATCCACTTCATCCCTTCTAGAAGGCAACTAAATTAGGTTTCTCAGTGCGATTGGGGTATTATATGACCCAGCTCAAAGCGAGCAACTGACCCGGTATTGTGCTTTAAAATGCAGGAAAGGCACCATATAGAAGAAACTGTCATAGTCAGCTGCAAAGCCTTCGTACAAGCGACCTGAGTCAGCACACCAGGGATGGATTTCTGGAACAGCCCACCATTGTGCATGCCTGAGATATCAGTACGTGCGTATTTAGGAATAACGTCTATCTTCCGAGAGCCTGGTATATGTTGCATGCTCGAACATGCATAGTCATAGTCATATATACACAACAAATGTGCACATACAACATGTTTTTCAATGTTTTATTTATGTATGCATATGTGTGCTTGTATATAAGTAAACATGACAACCTGTCAAAATACCGTTGAAAAACTGCAGAAATAGTGTTTTTTTCTTTTAGCTGAATCTGGATAGTTTGACAAAGTCCCGTATAGTACGGCAAACACTTTTCACTTCAACTCTGGCACAGTGTCATGGCGCATGGACATCGACAATGTTGAGGTCATGCCGAGAAAAATGATTTGAACAGGCTGTCTATGGATATGCTATGCTGATGTCCCTGGCGCCCAAGTTCAAAAAAATGATGCCAACTTGGTGGGGCTACACCTCGAATTCTGGAGGTATTGTGGGGTGGGCTTAGGTCAAAAAATTGGAGGTGTCTGAAACTGTAATATGGGGACTTCAGACCGCCGCCCAACCGTGCGGCCATGGGATGGGCAAAACTGATACCCTACCTGTTTGAAAAACTCTTCAAACGCAGACCATTGCAATGTATTGAAGGAAAGACTACAAGGATACCATGGCTTCTGCAGAGCGCAAAGGTCTCCAGTCAACTTCCCATAAATTCTAGGAGCATTGCAGCCACGTCACTCAATACATGGAGAAACACCATGTTTCGCCGAAGCGAAGCCACTGATTCCATGTCGTGTGCGCCTAGAAGAAGTGGAATCACAGAAAGCCAGGAACACACAACATGAAGCTAAATGTCCTGTGGTACAAATGTGCAGAAGTGGTGGATACAAAGTGAAGAGATGCATTTACATAATATATACATATACACAAATATGCAATGCATATGTAGATATTCAATAAGATAAAAACATGATCATGGCGCCTGTGGAAGTGCGGCGCTTTCAGCGCTCTTGAAACATACCTTTCAACTACATTCTTTTTATCAGGCGAAGCGCCATGCTCCAACTTTCTTGTTGCATTGTAGGGAGTGTCCAGGGACCAAGATTTTGGGCAAGCATTGCCATACTAGGCAGTGTCTCATGAGAGCAGCGAGTGTGCCTTGCGCATTAAACTTCCTGGAAGAAAGATTGCGTGGGATGTATGTGGTTTTTGTTGGATGTTACAACGAAGTATCAGGAGCGCCTTGAAAGTTACTAAATGGACGTTACAACGTATCATCAAGAGCGTCTTGAAAGTTACTTGAAATGGATGTTACGACATAGCATCAAGAGCGTCTTGAAAGTTACGTGAAGAAAATGTTGCAAAGTAGCATCAAGAGCGTCTTGAAAGTTCCGGAAAAGTTCTTAGACCGAAGCATCAACGATGTGCGAGGGATATTTTTTTTGCACACCCTAAAATCAACTATGTAAGTACGCAATTACATAGAACATTAAGAAACTCATCCCCCCGAACCCCCCAAACCATTGCAAAAGTGATAACAGTCCCGCCCATCGAGGGGCGCCCTCACCCATATATATATATAACAATAATAATAGTACTGACAACAAATGATAACAATAATAGCTGAAACATGCACAATATATTAATATCAGTTGAATATTATAGATTAACATCGTTCTTCTCATGGTTCTTATCATTATCATTCATCATGTATATAGATGAATATCATCTCGTAAGCTCCCACCGCAAACTCACTGCAAACTCAGGAAGTCTCAGTGTGCATCCCGGGATCTCATCTGTCATGCCATCCCGAAACACAGGCTACCGCGTCTACAAAACCACGTTGGTCCTGGTTTTCATCCCATCGTTTCCATTCATTTCCTAGATTCTAGATCATTGAGTTTACCTCGTTCATGTCATGATGATCTCATATGAAATGACCAGTTTCCGTGCTTCCTACAGGTCCCCATTTTCCATGCTTAACCCGTTATTATTGTTGGATTTGTGTTGTCTCGTTTTCATGTCCACCCAGAACCCCTCGGCTAAACCTTCATAGCGCTGCATAGCGGCCCTTGGCGCCAGGGGCTCTAGGGCCCTAGATGATCCGATCCAACATCAAACCAACTCATAATATTAACGGATATTACTTAACATATCATATATATCATCTATAGCGGGAATTTCACCATCAAAAATGGTGGATTTAATAACAACATGATTTGACCGTCAAAGATGATGGAATGCATTTGTTTTATTGATTTCGGCATCAAAAAATACGGGGGTTAACCTGCAATTCTGAGTTTTAATGGATTGGGCGAATGATATGTTCCAGGAAGCCATGCTTTCTACCTTTTGCCCCAGATCGACATTTTGCAGATTTTGTTTTTAGCCATATCTGGAACTGCAGGTTGATGGTGGGGCATGGGCATCTTAGACTTCCATGATGATATGATCCAGCAACATTAAGGGACGCAACCGAAGTCGAATTGGGGGGTGCAACCAAAAAGGTTGAAAGGATGGGAGTACATAGCAAGACAACTGATACAAAGAAAAAATATGTTATACACAGTATATATACCAGGAAAACTGTTGACATGCTGTCTTGGGAATTTGAAAACTTCCAGGCCGAAGAGAGAAATTCACACAAAGGGCCAGGATGTTCTGGATACCCACCAGCACTACACATAAAGTCAAAGAATACAGAAAGGGCCCTCCCACTTTTCAGTTGATTTATCGAAGGAAATTTAGAAGTCAAATTTCCGACAATATGGACAGATGAAAAGCAGAGATGGGAAGAGTCAGAGAGAAAAGAAAAGTAATCATGTCCCCCTATTACTAAACGTCCCCCAAATACTAAAATCTAGGGTCCATCTCTAATTTCGGAAAATTTCAGATTGGCCAATTTGACTTTTAATTGCTCCCCTTTAGAAAACAATGTAAAAATAAAACTAGAATTGTGTGTTTCGCCCCTAAAAATAAAACTAGGTGTTTATTATTAGGGTCCGTCCGAGAATTTTTAGTTTTTTATATTAGGGTTTTTAATTTATTATTACGGCCCGCTTCGAAATCCAATTTTTGGCAATATTTCAATTGCATTGTAAAATGAAATTTTATTTATTTTGAAATCGAACAAACTAGTCTTTATTATTAAGGTTTTAATTTTATTAATAGGGTCCGCTTCGAAATCCAATTTTTGGCAATATTTTAATTGGGTTACCAAAGGAAATTCAACTGATTTTGAAATCGAACAAACTATTTTTT